TATGGAAAAAAAAAAAAATCTCGTTTAGAGATATCCGGTTTGACAGGATCGAACAACGGCGACGCGTTCCAGAATTAATTCCATTCGTCGCGTTCGGGATCGAAATTTCACATTCTTGAGGAACTGATGACGGAACTGATGACGCCCATTGAGATAAAGGACTTGAGATAAGGACTCGAATTAACTTACAAGGAGGATGGGTACCCATCTGGAAAGCGGAAACGAGGGTGCGTCCGGGACCGAAGGGGCGGGGGAGGACGAGAAGGATTCGCGAATTTCGAGGACTCGCGCGCACAAGAGGTCGGATTATTAAATTTAATTAACACCCGTGAAACGGCGTTCTCTTCGTCGACGACGCAGCCGTTGGAACAAAGCTGCACTCGAGAGCGCGATAGGAACGTCGTGACGATGAGCGCTGATTTTTTTTCATATCGTTATATAAATATTTATACTCATCGATACGGACGGAAAAAGAATTGGTTTTGAAACAAAAAAGACGATAAAATCGAAATTAATAAAATTTTTATTAATGCTCGTATGCAATGTGAGATATAGAGAAAAGACCAACTAAGGAGCAAACAATAGGTATTAAAAATAAGTGTGACTGACTTTATGAACATAAAGTATTAAATAAATAACTGAAAACGTTTCAGACTACACAGAATTTTCTTCAGCAGTCAAAACTGACAGTTTAACAAATTAAAAAAATGAGACATGATACAATAAATTGACAATTTAGAATCATAAATGTTGACATAATTTTCATTATAAAAATAAAAATGATTGAAAGATTACATAAAGACCAATCATCAAGTCAATAAAAAAGCTAAAATAGAAAGCAATAAAATTTATGATTATTTTTAGAAATAAAATTTCTGATGAAGAGGAGAAATACGAATTTAACTACTCGTCGCCAGAAGACTAACTTTCTTCTTCTTTTATTGTAAATTATCGTTATATATCGAATATTTTTTTGCTTTTGGTGGGCAAATTATTGCGGTCGCACGGCGGTTCTTTCGCGGCGGACGGGGGGGGGAGGGGGCCGAGGGAAAGAGAGAGGAACAGTGGTTTTTGCGCGCGATAATTCGAAATTCCATCTGCGTAATCGCGCGTTTGTCGCAGATGCGCTCGGTATCGCGTTTCTCACGAAGGTGGTCGGGCAAACGTACGTCTCACGGGGGGAGAAATTTCGAAATTGTCCCGCAAACCAGTCCTCCAATTAGTGGCCACGTCCGGTGTCCCGAATCGTTCCTCTCCCCCCCTCCCTCCCCCCGGCCCCTCCTCCGTCCCGTTCATCCCCCGTTTCTGCTGCCATTGCTGCGCCGAGGTGCGACGTGCAGGTGGATGTAACCGGAGACGGCCGAAGGCAACATTGCGACGTTTTATGACAGCCGAATGGAGCGACACGCATATGCATGTTGCATGACCGCGCCATATGGAGACAATGTAGCATGATTAAACAGTCACGCGATGCAAACACTGTACGCAGCCTCGTACGTACGTATTAGCGGGATGCAAGTTAGCTGCAACCAGAGACAAGGAGACCAGCTGACTGCTGCTGTGTTTGTTGAGACGAGTCGCGCGTCTTTAAACACGACTGCGAGCGACTTTACCTTATAGATTTTACGACGACAGGAGGTGGCGCGGAAAACGGAGGAAATTAAAACGTAAAGTAAAACCGATTGTGAAAGGGGAGGGCGAGGAAGGGGCGCGAGTGATAAGAGGATATCGAGAAGCGGGAAAGGGAGGGAACTCCAACGGAGGGTTTAAGTAATAATTGAATAATAATGAACGGGAGGGCAAACGATTTTATTCGATTCTTTCCGAGAGGAATCTCGGAATATTCAGAGATTAGTTTTACCCTGATTGTAGATAGTCTCGATTGGTCTCGTGGCCGTCTTACTGCTCGTACATCTCCTTCAATCGGGGTAGAGGAAAATTCTCCCGGGAACGAGACTGATTGCTAATTTGTCCCCCGATTTAATCGCGCCCGTCAGTTAGCGAGACGAGCAAGGCGAGTATTTACATTTTCTTCCTGCGATTATACGACGGACGTGACGTCGGAGGGACCCGCGCGCGCAAAGAGGATTATTCGCGCGAAATAATGAATCGCAGCCCTTCGACTGATGAAATCGTTTTGCTATTAAAGTTCTCTCCTCCGCAGGATTAAAGCTGGAGTCGACGCAGCAGGTCGACTCGTGCAAAACGACGGATTTTAAGCACTCCGAATTTTGCGAATTAAATTTCCACAAAGTAGACTA